ATTAAATAACGTGTCACTGAACCGGTTTAATATCCACATTTGTATCGTAACGGTTTAATATCCACATTTGTATCGTGACGGTTTAATATCCACATTTGTATCGTGAAGGTTTAATATCCACATTTGTATCGTGACGGTTTAATATCCACATTTGTATCGTGACGGTTTAATATCCACATTTGTATCGTGACGGTTTAATATCCACATTTGTATCGTGACGGTTTAATATCCACATTTGTATCGTGACGGTTTAATATCCACATTTGTATCGTGACGGTTTAATATCCACATTTGTATCGTGACGGTTTAATATCCACATTTGTATCGTGACGGTTTAATATCCACATTTGTATCGTGACGGTTTAATATCCACATTTGTATCGTGACGGTTTAATATCCACATTTGTATCGTGACGGTTTAATATCCACATTTGTATCGTGACGGTTTAATATCCACATTTGTATCGTGACGGTTTAATATCCACATTTGTATCGTGACGGTTTAATATCCACATTTGTATCGTGACGGTTTAATATCCACATTTGTATCGTGACGGTTTAATATCCACATTTGTATCGTGACGGTTTAATATCCACATTTGTATCGTGACGGTTTAATATCCACATTTGTATCGTGACGGTTTAATATCCACATTTTTATCGTGACGGTCTTCATATCAATCATAGTTTGGTACATGTTTTATGTTTACTCTTCATTATCCTTTTAATTGTTATTGTCCAATACGAGTTTCTGTAATATAAATAGTTTGAATGATTGCTTTTCACTTTTACCATGCTTACTCGGGTTTCTGTTTCAACAGTATTATTTGTAGCATAAGGACTCTACTTGATTGCATTGATGTGTTCATGCTCTAATGCCTGGCGATCATAATCTTACATGTGCACATATTATCGTAATATCAAAATAACTTATACCAAACTAACATTCCAAAACTGTAAACAGACAGGTATTTATGCCTTCTCATTGTTTTTAGCGACCAAGTGCTTAACTTGGATGTTAAATAGAGGTTCCCTATTGACCGATGGTTGGTTTTCATGTTGATCTAACTCTAATTAGTTCATTTTCAAATTATATTAAAACACAAGGTTAAACTAGTTCCTATTACAATTTTAAATAAATTTACGAGAGTTTGATAAACTTGATAATCAACCATCTCGAGTTAGAGGACTTTTTTTTCTCTCACACAACATAGAAAACGATAAGACTCTCTTGGGAAGCATTATTCGTACTTTCGACCAGGGGAGAAATTGCCATGAACTATGACGTCGCAAAGCATTGCTACCTGACGTCATAATCAGAAAGTTGACCAGCGTAGTAGCGTCTAGGGTGTTATTCACTTGTTGGTAACCAAAAAATTATCCACTCCTTGTCATATTTATCCAGTGATCGGCGGAAGTGAGGAAACCCTGTTATAGGTGTTGGAGAAAGAAAGATCACCTAGCAGTTTATTTGCAGAAAAGAAGTTCGCTAATTTATTAACATCCCTTGTTTTAATAACAGTATACTAAAAACGTTATTTGGGCGACAAATATTACGGTCTATGACCCTTTCGGTCTCTAAATTTTGCGAATATCTCCTGCGTCTGCAAATATTCTATAGGTAATAGGCAGGTGTTGTACATTGAAACCAAAAACAACACATGAGCACAGATGAAATCGATTTATTAATTAAATGAAATTAAACAAAATTTCCAATCAAAATTAAAACCACCAATATAAATGTTCAGCACACAATGTAATGTTTTTTTTTAAGCATCAGTTAGTAGACACATGATTTTCTTATGACATCGTTTATGTGTGAAAGAAACATTGACCATGTATGAAAATTAGATATGCAAACAAACTTAGTGTATTCAGTACATTAAAAAATGATGGATCTATGGCTACAAGAACATACAATTGTTGTTTAATGCTTGTACATCTGAACTATTCAAAAACCCTAAAATCTCAATATTGAACCTGATTTGATTTGAAAATAAGCTCACCATGAAAGTAAGCTTTGGATTTCTTAAAGTCAAATATATCTCGAAATTAAGAAAATATGCCGGCCTTAATAAAAAATACATTGGTTCCTTGCTGTAATTTCATTTTAAAACATAAAGTCACGCTACCACAATTGGTACAATTTTGACAGCTTTTTTTTAGTGATCTTTAAAAATTCAGATCTTGAATCTGGAATGTTTCTTGATTCTGGACAAAGACTACCTATGGTGCCGTAAATAGTACCCAAATTGGTACACCATATCACAGGCTATGGAATTTGTTTTTATTTCTACAAGTTGATGTGCCGACTACAGCAAAACATATTGCTTTTGAAGATACCATACTGAACTATAATTGTATATATTCATTTTTATATTATCCTAATATAAGGACCAGAAATCAACATTTAAACATGCTTATATATTTAACCCCTTGAAAATCCTCAAAACATTTCGTCGACGTACGTCGTTTTTACTGGTTTTCTGATATGCTTACTTTGAAGTCATCGTGCACTCTTAAAATGTTCCTGTAAACAAAACTATTCGGCAGAAATTCTGATAAATATCTCTTTTGTTAAACTGATAAAGGAAAATGCTCAAATTTAATTTTAAAGTACTATTCGAACAACTTTCTGACCGTGTACCAATTTGGGTAGTGTACCAATTGTGGTAGCGTGACGTGAAGTCCTGTATGCACTTGTCATTTCGACTCATACCCGGTATAGCAGGGTAAATGCGGTTTCCAGGTTGTCATGCTATAGAGACATGTTTTGAAATGTAGCCTCAAACGGGGTTTCAGCTCGTTGTAATGAAAGGGTTATGTAATAATATTGAATGTGTTTAGCAGTAATGTTGTCGATTGTATCAGCTATTACTTCTAATGCGAATGCCAGTTCAACTATGACCTTCAAATAGACATGTACAATATGATAAACTATTGAAAAATCAGGAACAAAACACATCAAATATTACATATAAAATGTAAAGTAAGATTTTCTTATTAAGTATGAACAAGACTTAATAACAGAAAAAAATAAACCAATTGAAACAATAATGTGACAATGTTAATACATACTGTATTGTTCTATGGGATACGTTCATACAACTTCCTGCAATTCTCCTTTTTATCAAGGACCATGCATATTTATATTAACTAGTGATACATTGATAAGCTTGATTTACTTAACTCAAGTAAATTAAATGGTTACACTTTTAAATGTTAAAATGCATACACGTCTGAATAATTTCTGGCAATTTCATCTGACTATCGCAGGTGAAATCGGTCGCATTTCTCACTAAAAGTAAGTCGACATTACCTCAAAGGATTCCTAGTCATGCATGATTTATTTTATTTTCCTGATAAAAAATTGGCTATTTTCACATATTGTTTTCTGTCATTATAACGATATTCATTACTGCGGTAAAAAGGAAAGCAAATTTTTTTTTTAGAATAAATCTTATAATTTGCCATTTTGTTTGATAGAATGACTTTGGACTTAATCAACCCCTAAATTCGGAACAGAATCGATCAAATCACTAAGATATTACATCGTTCAATATTTCAAAAATTGATTCTTTTTCTTTTCTTTTTGTAATCAAGTTTATGGAACAATTATTCAAGAAGACAAATATCATAACGTGTTGAAATATTAGGGACAAAACATATTAAAATATAAACTGTTTCACAGTAAGATTGTCTCATTAAACATGAATATATTACCAACACGTGTTAACAGGAAAATATAAAAAAAAAAAGGAAAATGACGAAACAAATTACAACAAATTACTAAGGTTTATAAATAGACTATGTACATATGCGTATACAATAAGCTTATAAAAGGTAAATTGACTTCGATGATTAAATGAACTTTAGTTAAGTAAATGGTTACACTACTCCATGTAGAAATGCATACACGTCTGAATATGTTCTCGCAGTTTATCTGATCATCGCCGATACAGTTCGCAAAAAGGTTTGCATATAGCCTCGATTTTAAACAGAGAAGGCATACAGAATTGGTAGTTTTTCTCACTAAACCCTAACTAGCTCAAGCACCATCTGAAAGGTGTAAATATTCTTTGTGCGTCATTTCTTTGTTCATGCAGTTGTATACAGTAGACCTATTCTTCCCCTTACATGCATGGGTTATTTCTTAAACAGGCAAACATGTTATGGCATCTTTGTTTCATTTTACAGTTATGGAAAAAGTTTGTAAATTCAATATATGCGGTGAATAACTATAACACTAAAGCTATTTTCCAACTCAGGTACCTGCTTATGAAATATTAAAGAAAAACAAAGTACAAACGATACTGTAGCGTTAAAATCTAGGAATCGTTAACTAAGAAGCAGATCACTGTGTTACCTCGCGTTACTCGTATATATGTAACATAAAGTAATGGAACCAGTGTCATTTGATTTGTAGAAAATAAGCTTTCTGGTCGGTTTTTAATATGCAAAATTGTGCACCTATAAGTGTTATTAAGATATCGGGAGCGGCACGTGTTTTGCGAGGTCACACAATATTTACTTAAATATCGATGTTTTACCCTCTATCATTATGTTAATACATTGAACAACTCGCTGGCACCATATAATCCAGGTTAAGTAATGTAGCTTAATATACAAGAGCATAAGTCTAGCGACATGCATTTTCGGTTAACAGGTATTACCGGTTAACAGACGTTATCAAATGTGCAGAAATCAAGCACGATATAACACAGCATACTTGATCAGAGAGACTTTCTTCTGCAATAAGCGGTTTGATAAAATGACCCTATTCGTTGTTATCGGACTTCTTTAATTTACTACAATCCTCGTGATGATCAGTTTTCCCCATTAAATTTGATCATTGTACAGTTCTATGTCGGAGCGTACTAATCAACACATAATTTACTATGTGTTACGTTAGCTTGTCATGTTGAAAATCAAATTCATCTTAAACACATATTCATCAGCAATACATATTCTCTACCTATGCGAGGTTGCGATTTATTATAATTTTTATTTCAAACGCCAAAAATAAAAAAAGGGATTTTCAACAACGACATATCAGCTAGTATAAGTTGAAACCGTTTTAAAACAAATGTCCGATTCAACTTATACAAAGTTACACTCAAGACATAGGCAACACATATACAGAACGATATCTTAAAATCAGGACAAACATAGGCACTATAAGACTAATGAAAACGTATTGATATGCCATACAATAAAATGTATAACAATCATGAAGCTATTAAATAACCAACACTTAATAGGGAACACATCGTCATCACGAAATGCTTTTTTTTTTTTCTTTTTTTTTTCTTTTTTGCTTTGTTACGTTTAATAACTAACGCTTAATAGATAAATACCCTGCTTGCTTTTTTTAAATTTATCAACACACGCTAACAAGATACAGACATGTATCCTGCTTGCTTTTGCACATATTGGAACCAACGCTAAGCAGCTAAATATCACGCTTGTTCTTTGCACATTTGACAACATACGCTTACCAGTTAAAAAGAGTGCTTGCTATTTGCGCATTTTGCAACAAACGCCTACCAGCTTTATATCAGGCAAGCTTTTTGCGCTTTTGGCAACATACGATTACCAGTAAAACACGTGTTTTTTTGCTCATTTCGTACCATTCGCTAACCAGTTAGATATTGTGCTAGCTTTTCGCACTTTAGGCAACATACACTTACCAGTTATACATCATGCTTGCTTTGACACTTTTGGTATCATACGATTACCATTTATATATCATGCTATTTTTTGCACTTTTAGTAACCTAGCTATTTGCTGATATTGCAACATTCGCTTTCTAGTTATATATCGTGCTAGCTTTTTGCATATTTAGCAACAAACGATTACAAGTTATATATCGTGCTAGCTTCTTACTCATTTGGAAACATACGCTTACCATTTACATACCATGCATCGTTTTTACGCTTTTGCAAAACACGCTTACAAGTAAAATATGCTATTGTTTGCACAGTTAGTAACATTCGCTGACAAGTTTTATATCGAGTCAGTTTATTTGCACATTTGGCAACATATGATTACGAGTAATGTCTCGTGATAGATTTTTGAATACCAGCTAGATATCGTGCTAGCTTTTGTACTTTTGGCAACATATGATTACCGGTTTCATATCGTGCAAGCTTTTTGCACATTTGGCAACGTACGATTACCATTTATATATCATGATTGTGTTTGCACATTTAACATCGTTCGCTTAGCTATTACATATCGTGCTACCTTTTGCACATTTGGCAACATAAGATTACCATTTATATATCGTGCTAGCCTTTTGCACATTCTAAAACATTCGCTTTCCAGTTATGTATAGTACAAGCTTTTTGCCCACTTGGCAACACACGCTTACCAGCTACATGTACGCGTCATGCTGCCTTTTTGCTCATTTGGCAACATACGATAACCAGTTAAATATCGTGCTAGCTCTTTGCAAATTTGGCAACATACGATTACCAGCTAAATATCGTGCTAGTTTTTGCACATTTGGCAACATACGATTATCGGATACATATCGTGCTAGCTCTTAGCAAATTTGGCAACATACGATTACTAGCTATGTTTCGTGCCAGCTTTTGCACTTTTGGCAACGTACGATTACCATTTATATATTGTGGTTATATTTGCACATTTGACATCATTCGCTTAGCAGTTGCATATCGTGCTTTTCTTTGCACATTTGGCAACATACGATTTCCAGTTACGTTTCGTGCCAGCTTTTGCACATTTGGCAATATACGATTACCATTTATATATCGTGCTAGCCTTTTGCACATTCTAAAACATTTGCTTCCAGTTATGTATAGTGCTAGCTTTTTGCCCACTTGGCAACATACGCTTACCAGCTACATGTACGCGTCATGCTTCCTTTTTGCACAGTTGGCAACATACGCCTACAAGTATTATGTCCTGTGCTTTTGCAAAGTTAGTAACATTCGCTGACAAGTTATACATCGAGCAAGCTTTTTGCTCATTTGGCAACATATATACGATAACCAGTTAAATATCGTGCTAGCTCTTTGCAAATTTGGCAACATACGATTTCCAGTTAATACATATCGTGCTAGCTTTTTGCTTATTTTGCTCCATAGATTACCAGCTAAATATCGTGCTAGGTTTTGCACATTTGGCAACATACGATTATCGGATACATATCGTGCTAGCTCTTTGCAAATTTGGCAACATACGATTACTAGTTATGTTTCGTGCCAGCTTTTGCACTTTTGGCATAGTACGATTTCCATTTATATATCGTGCTTATATTTGCACATTTGACATCATTCGCTTAGCAGTTGCATATCGTGCTTTTCTTTGCACATTTGGCAACATACGATTTCCAGTTATGTTTCGTGCCAGCTTTTGCACATTTGGCAACATACGATTACCATTTATATATCGTGCTAGCCTTTTGCATATTCTAAAACATTTGCTTCCATTTATGTATAGTGCTAGCTTTTTGCCCACTTGGCAACACACGCTTACCAGCTACATGTACGCGTCATGCTTCCTTTTTGCACAGTTGGCAACATACGCCTACAGGTATTATGTCCTGTGCTTTTGCAAAGTTAGTAACATTCGCTGACAAGTTATACATCGAGCAAGCTTTTTGCAAATTTTGCAACATAGATTACCAGCTCAATATCGTGCTAGCTTTTGCTCATTTGGCAACATACGCTTACCATTTACATACCATGCATCGTTTTTGCGTTTTGCAAAACATGCTTACAAGTAATATATCCTGTTTTTTGCACAGTTAGTAACATTCGCTGACAAGTTTTATATCGAGCCAGTTTATTTGCACATTTGGCAACATATGATTACCAGTAATGCTCGTGCTAGATTTTTGAATACCAGTTATATATCGTGCTTGCTTTCGGCAAATTGTGCAATATATATTACCAGCTAAATATCGTGCTAGCTTTTGTACTTTTGGCAACATACGATTACCGGTTTCATATCGTTCTAGCTCTTTGCACATTTGGCAACATACGATTACCATTTATATACCGTGCTTATATTTGCATATCTGACAGCATTCACCTACCAGTTACATATGGTGCTACCTTTTGCACTTTTGGCAATATATGATTATCGATTACATATCGTGATAGCTTTTTGCACATTTGGCAACAGTCGATTGCGAGTTATGTTTCGTGCTAGCTTTTGCACATTGGATAACATACGATTACCATTTATTTATCGTGCTAGCTTCTTGCTCATTTGGAAACATACGCTTACCATTTACATACCATGCATCGTTTTTGCGCTTTTGCAAAACATGCTTACAGGTAATATATCCTGGGTTTTTTGCACGGTTAGTAACATTCGCTGACAAGTTTAATATCGGGCCAGTTTATTTGCACATTTGGCAACATATGATTACCAGTAATGTCTCGTGCTAGATTTTTGAATACCAGTTATTTATCGTGCTTGTTTTTTGCAAATTGTGCAACATATATTATCAGCTAAATATCGTGCTAGCTTTTCGCACATTTGCCAACATATGATTAGCGGTTACATATCGTGCAAGCTTTTCGCACATTTGGCAACATACGATTACCAGTTATGTGTCGTGCAGGCTTTTGCACATTTGCAAATATACCATTACTATTTATATATCGTGATTCTGTTTGCACATTTGACATCATTCGCTTACCGGTTACATATCTTGCAAGCTTTTTGCACATTTGGCAACATACAATTACCAGTTATGTTTCGTTCAGCTTTCGCACATTTGGCAACGTACGATTACCATTTATATATCATGATTGTATTTGCACATTTGACATCGTTCGCTTAGCAGTTACATATCGTGCTACCTTTTGCACATTTGGCAACATATGATTTCCAGTTATGTTTCGTGCCAGTTTTTGCGCGTTTGGCAACATAAGATTACCATTTATATATCGTGCTAGCCTTTTGCACATTCTAAAACATTCGCTTTCCAGTTATGTATAGTACTAGCTTTTTGCCAACTTGGCAACATACGCTTACCAGCTACATGTACGCATCATGCTTCCTTTTTGCACATTTGGCAACATACGCTTACAAGAAATATGTCCTGTGCTTTTGCAAAGTTAGTAACATTCGCTGACAAGTTATACATCGAGCAAGCTTTTTGCTCATTTGGCAACATACGATAACCAGTTAAATATCGTGCTAGCTCTTTGCAAATTTGGCAACATACGATTACCAGCTAAATATCGTGCTAGTTTTTGCACATTTGGCAACATACGAGTATCGGATACATATCGTGCTAGCTCTTAGCAACTTTGGCAACATACGATTACTAGCTATGTTTCGTGCCAGCTTTTGCACTTTTGGCAACGTACGATTACCATTTATATATTGTGCTTATATTTGCACATTTGACATCATTCGCTTAGCAGTTGCATATCGTGCTTTTCTTTGCACATTTGGCAACATACGATTTCCAGTTACGTTTCGTGCCAGCTTTTGCACATTTGGCAATATACGATTACCATTTTTATATCGTGCTAGCGTTTTGCACATTCTAAAACATTTGCTTCCAGTTATGTATAGTGCTAGCTTTTTGCCCACTTGGCAACATACGCTTACCAGCTACATGTACGCGTCATGCTTCCTTTTTGCACAGTTGGCGACATACGCCTACAAGTATTATGTCCTGTGCTTTTGCAAAGTTAGTAACATTCGCTGACAAGTTATACATCGAGCAAGCTTTTTGCAAATTCTGCAACATAGATTACCAGCTCAATATCGTGCTAGCTTTTGCACATTTGGCAACATACGATTACCAGTTATGTTTCGTGCCAGCTTTTGCACTTTTGGCAAAGTACGATTACCATTTATATATCGTTCTTGTATTTGCACATTTGCCATCATTTGGTTACCGGTTGTGTTTCGTGCCAGCTTTTGCACATTTGGCAACATACGATTACCATTTAAATGTCGTTCTAGCCTTTTGCACATTTTAAAACATTCGCTTTCCAGTTATGTATAGTGCTAGCTTTTTACACACTTGGCAACAAACGCTTATCCACTTAGCAGCATGCTTCTTTTTGCACATTTGGCAACACACGCTTACCAGTTATATATACTGCTTGTATTTGCACATTAGGCAACATACGATTACCAGTTTTATATCCTGCTGGCTTTAACATCCGTGGTAACATAAACTTTCCAGTTGAATTACGTACTTGCTTTTGCACATATCGCACCTATATTACCAGTTATATATCGTTTGTTCCCGTTGAGCAACATTTACTTATCAGTTACATATCGTGCTTGCTTTTGCATATATGGCAACTAAAGCTTACAGGTTATGTATCGAGCTTGCTTTGCATATTTAGCAACATATGCTTTCCATTTATATATCGTGTTAGTTTTTGGCACATTTAGCAACATACGGTTACCAGTTATATATCGTGCCAGCTTTTGCACATTTTGCAACTTGCGCTTACCAGTACCATCTTGTGCTAGCTTTTTATACTTTCGGCAGCAAACGATTACCAGTTATATATCATGCTAGCTTTTTATACTTTCGGCAGCACCCGATTACCAGTTATATATCGTGCTAGCTTTTTGCACATTTGGCAGCAAACGATTACCAGTTATATATCGTGCTAGCTTTTTGCACATTTGGCAACATTCGATTACCATTCATTTGGAAGCATGTTTCTTCATGTTATATATTGTTTAATAAGTGTAAACACATTCGGAAACATACGTTAACAGTTATATAGCGTGCTACCTTTTTGTCATTTAACATTATACATTAGCCAGTTATATATCATGCTAATATCATTGTATCATTGTTTTACCGGTTTGTAACACTATTCAATTGTACTATTTAGCGTCAGATGTGAATATTCAGTATCATCAATTACAGTTTATTCATCATGGTTTGCTTGGCATTTTAGCAACTTAAACTCACGTGATTTTGCTCAATTAAAATATAAAACAATATGCTAGATGTTGCACATTTAGCAACAAAATTCTACCTGTCATATATCATGTCTCTCTTTAATAGAGTAATCTTTCTTTATCAATAATATATCATGCTATTTTTGGATGCTATGTAACACCTGATAACTGCTAATACATTATATGAACGTTTGCACACTTAGCAACATTTTAGTTTTATGTTTTTGCAAATTATTTTGCAAGTTTTTTCCACCTTAAGAAGCAAATGTCTTCCAGTATAACTATCGTAATATGTTTTCCATACAGATAGTCTTTGTTTACCTTTAATAAGTAGTGCTAGATAGTTTGCGATATCATTAAATAGGAATATATACTGATTAGTTTTGCATATACTTTGTTTGTTTTGTACATTAATAACATCTGATTACTTTAATAGATCTTGATATTGTCAGAATATTATCACAATTTACCAGAAATACATCCAGTTAGCATTTGCACATTTGACAACACAATATTGTATTGCAGTTTGTCGTGTAAGTTTTTACACCTTCGGTATGTTTTAAAACTTTACACATTTGGGGACACATACATTTAAGTGTTAAAAGTTTTGTGCATCTAATCTCCTATTAGTAGCAAGATATGATGCCAACTTTACGCATGTGGAAACAGCAGTGTAAACAAAATATATGATATTAGTTTACGAGCAATGAATTGCATCATCACTGAAACCTATGAAGAAAGTAACTAAGCAAATCGGCAAGAGAAGAATTAATTCGTGTATGCATTTCTATGCGTAGATTTTAGTAACCAATTTCGGTGATGTTAACAAAATTATATACAATTGTAAATCAAGTTTAAATATGCTATATTTATACACTAAAACACAAGATTGCAAAACAAAGAGCAACATCATGATTACATTACAAAATAATATTCAGATTGCAATACATCAGTTTTTTAAAACATTGTAACGTTTCCAATCTGTTGCTCAGAAATAGAATATGGTAAAAGAGTTCAAATCAAATACGATGAGAGCGGATACAAAATAAACCGATATAGTAGCAATTTATTTTTCCAAAATATAATTTGCCTCATTGAAAATTTGCTGGTATAAGGCACATAAAGATGTAGTTCTTTCATATGAGACATGTTGGACATTAAAAGGGTTCCCACGTTAACTTTGATTGATAATTGATGAAACACTAAATTGTATTAAAGTGAATTTTATTTCTATCGACGAATTATATGCGGGAGTTTGTCATTAACCACAGTGATAGCCTATTTATATCCGACATCTCTGCCGCTTTTTCAAAATACTTTCTAGCTCTGTGTGAAAACCTAGCTTTCTAAGAGCATTATATATATCGCTATGGGTGAGCTTTTGCCTACGCTGAAGTGACATATTGGTATACTCAAATGACATATCCTCGGCATTTAAACTCCTGTGAGGTTGTTCATGATCTTCAGTTAGAAGCTCCATTTGGTACTTTTCAAGACCCATATATTCAGCAAACTTCGTGTACCTTTTTTTAGGGGCGAGCACCTTCGACAAATGTCTTACAAAGCGTTCGGATGGACGTTCTGAAATGACATAAAGCAAATCAGATCTAAGTATTATTTTCTTAGTATTTTTAAAATTAATATCTTTAAAACACATGAAAATGGAATGTATAAAATATGAATAATGTGGTCTATTTATTGTTCACTTGTCATGTTTAAAGTACTAGGCTTTTGATAAACAAGAAGGCCCATGGGCCTTTACGGTCACCTGAGTTCTGATATATTTATACAGAGATTTAAAAGTTTTTTAAGTTATCAACATATAATATCCAAAATATCATTTGCCAATATAAACCATAAATTTTGCCCCCCCCCCCCCTTCTCCAGGGGGAAACGTGAGACCATAGAGTCATGAAATTCACAATTTTGGTAGAGCACCTTAAACCCTTTCATCTATGAAGAGTATTTGGTTCTACCATATCTTGATCTTGGGAGGTAGATTTTTGAAATTTCAGTCAATTCGACCATTTTGGGCCCCAGCCATCCGGGAACATTTATCATGCTTAATTTTGCGTTACTCATTAATCTAAAAGAAATGCAAAATCCTCGCTATAATATATATAATATTATGTACGTCGGATAATTTTTTGATTGTTCCGACAATGAATGAAAGACAAATATCTTTAAAATCAGTGTTTATCAAGTTTGTTGATATTCGAAATTAATTTATTAATTAACAAAATAATGAGAACACTCGGTAAGCATATCACAATGACAGCTTTTGAAAATATATCAAAACTGATTTTTCTTAATGATAAGCAATTGTTGTCTTCTGTCCAGACAGATTACAAATTTTATTTACATTTTCTCATTTATTTTTAAGAATTTATTTACATACATTACTGACTAAGAAATGCTGATATTCGAAGTTAGTTTTATCACATAATGTACTGTGTAATCCAGTGATTATACCCATGCCATTTTTGTTTGCATATTAACCCATGTAATATGACATATCAGCTCTGTGATTGGTTGTAAGTAATTGTTTTAATTATTTCGTCACGCCTAGGACAAGTACATGACGTCACAGACTTACTAACTGGAGTCAAAATGTCGGCTTTTTAAATTTCTAGGTTGCATGAAAATTGACGTGTACACTAAGAAATGAGACACAATCTTGATTATGTGATAAAAAGGATCCTACACTCATTTTCATTTCAAATGCAATTTATGAAACTCGTCACGAATTTTTCATTTGCCAGAGGCTCGCTAAATTGAATAATTCTTAGACTTGTTTCATAAATCTCATATGAAATGGAAACTCATGTAAGATCCTATATATCATCTTGTCATTTTCAGGTTATTTAGCATTCGAAAAGTAAAATTCTATCTTACGATATAATGTAAGATAAAATATATTACATATCACAATGATTTAAATTTAGAGTTGATTATGATAGACACATGACATACAACCTGTTTTAAGTAAATCTAAGTAAAACATACTTTTCTCGTCTTCTTTTTCCAGTAGGTATTGGATGTGTTTTTCTTCTCTATTTGTACCGGGATGTGACAGTTGTCGCTTAATTGCCGGATTCGGCTTTTTTAATGTTTCTTCTCCGTCCTTTTCAACGTATTTGCCGAATCCACAAACGGTGTTGTCGTAGTTCCCAAAGGATACATGTCGTGTTCGCTTCGGTACCAGTAGTGATTTCTCGTTCTTACGTATATCTCTAGGTAGGTCGTCTGCTTCTTCAGGATCTCCCACGTCTGCATTTTCAGACTTTTCCTTGGTGCTATCTTGTACATTTTCAGTATCCGTTAATGGCATGTTTTCATCTGGCGTTGAGTCATCTCGTTTCCCTAAATAACAAAAGAGAATATAGCCAGTTGAACATATTTGTTTTAAGAATCTGGTAAATTCAATATTGGCTTTGCTTTAATTGTTTAATGGTTATACAACTTAGGCAGACTGTAATGTATCGTACTTTTGCTCTATAAAATTAATTTCTTGTGTATGTAAGAGTTATGTGACAACTTTATAACAATGCATATTTATTCATAAACTTTCCTTTTAGCTAAACAACAAGATAACAAAACAGCATTGATTTCCGAATGTATGTTGAAAATAATACGATGATAATATTTATCATAATTGTGGCATATAAGACAAAGAAAAAGATATATTGTATAGCTTACCAAAGTACCTCCGCACGCTTTTTCTTTTATAAAGTATGCCACATAAGATCCCTACCACGATTGCTGTTACCACCACTAACAGTGAAACATTGGTCACGTTCTCTTTGTTTTGGTCTTCATCTACGAAGAAAGTCAACAATTAACTTAACTGTATTCACATTTGTATTGCACACGTGTTTGATGAGTAACCTAGGATACATTGTTTTGATGGTATTATGATGTTTCGGGTGGTATTCTACTTGTTTGGCCTATGTTTCCTGTATTTTCTAGAAAATACCGCGCTTACTTGATTTTTACTTTATCGGACAATTTCGGATGATAGCATGATTCATGATTTAACTAAAACACTAATATTTGTATTTCTAAAATTTGAGGGAGATGTTATATTATACTCCTTCTTCTGCTGGTAGTGAAATTCAAAATGAATCAACTATAACAAACTAAATGTGAAAAGAAAGGATGACCTAGCACAACGTGAACGGGACAAGGTCGTCCTGCACTCGATCAACAATTAAAACAGAAATGTTAAAGTAGGAACATTTGGAACAAAACTAAAATTTTACACGGGAAATGATAATACTCAGTATGCTAAATTTAATAGTTGAGTATGCCATGTTTTTGTGTTTTTGTATATGTAAATACTTTGTTGTAATGCGCTTACCACACCAAAGGATCCAAAAACGTGTTTAAACAAGATATAATAAATTTACTCTCAGCAACAATCTGTGAACTGCTCTTATTTTAGATTGAAAAAAAAATGTGTCTCGGGTTAGGTTATTTGAATAATGGATGTTTGCCACAATGATTTATAAAACATTTGTTAGCTTTAGCAATACATGTAATGATAGCCAGTCTCTGTGCTATCGACTTTGGTCCCTAAACATAACCATAATTTAAAGCTATTTCAAGAAACCAATTTAAAATTAAATCTATTTTTTTTCTATAAAACCACTAGCGCATTTGTCTGATTCAGATGATCAAAGAGATCTCATATCGTAGTACAAAAAAAATAATTCATCTAAAATAATTTGTCTAATTATTGGTAATAGTATTTTCCAGTCATATGAATTAGGGTTTTCTTTTAATCTGAAATATTAGACAAATGGAAATATAAGTTTGACTGTAACTGAAGACATTTGTCATATTTACCTTTTTGTTTTTGTCCAACTTGTACGTATTCATAGGAATCTGATGAAGTTATCAATCTAATAGAAGAAAAGACATACTTATACATTAGTATTCTTATCTAGAAACGCAATACAACATACCTACAATGTTGTTACATATTGTAGTGTAACATACTGATCAAATTAGTAGACATACACACAATGTTATTCAGTGATTAACATATCAAGTAAGACTAAACAACGAAATGACAATGTTGATCAGAAATGTATTAACCTCGTAAGTCGGTTGTAAAAACATGTTTATATATGTATATATATAGATTGAATACAGTACAAAACAGTGAGAAAATGTGCTTCAGAAATATATCTTCAGATCTAAAAACAAAACAGCGTTAGTACAATGATGTTCAGCGACTTTAGAATCTACTCGGTCAATGAAACGTATAACGTTGTTGTAAAGTATTATATTTAAAACACCTGAATTTTCGTACACACTTATTATATGTCAAAGGTTAACCTTCAAATCTGTTCCATAGAACCATTTTTCTATCTGCTTCGATTTAACATGTTGTGTAGTGTTATAAAAAACAACACAACAATTTCATAGAACGTTTAACAAACAACTTTTTAAACTTTCAATAAACATGCGGTGTACGTTGTATATTTGTATAATTTATTCACTGGCAGATGTGTTGACAAATAAAGAGCTTTCAAAAAAAACCACCCAGCGTTTACATACTTGCTGTAATGCGTAAACATTTTTTTTAATGTAACGATTACCTACCTTTTCGAAACCTGCCGAACGTTGTTGCTACATTGTGTGTCTTGTGTCTTTGTACATGCTTGGTCTTCATGCATGCCCGCATCGGAACACGTGGTACAGGTTTGGCATTTCCAGGAGATATCTCTTTCAGGGTTATAGGTACCCTCACTACAACTCCTACATTTCGGACATTTAGTGGCGCCGTTCAGACCCATTCCCAAATCCGCTCCCTGTAAGACAGTAGAGTGAATTATTATGTTATATATCAAAGTTATTCATATAATGTGTTAACCATTGCTTTACAAGTAAATAGCTTTATATGATTTAATATGATATTAGAAATATGAAAATAAGGTAGCATACCATAATTATTAGGTAGGATACAATTGATATGCATATTTCTTAAAAGAAAATTTTAGATTGGAAAGTGTGAATTTACAGTTAGTTTCATGTGTGACGTTTCCATGACTAGTACGGTAAGTACCCTGTCACCTTCACCGGACAACAAATGACCGATGAAGAGTATGAATACAATGGTGTAAAATATGTAAGAGCTAGCAATATGAAATCGAGGTCGATTCGGGTACGTTAAAAGAAATTGACCGCTTCTACAACACTTGAAATTAAGTTATGATAAACAAAATCACATTGACGTGTTGTAAAATATGTTCTACTGATAAGCTTACCTGTAAGTCTGGCTCCTCACCAAGCCAACACTTGTCACACTCCTTACAACCTTGGATTTGTTGAACATAATACAGGTGTTTTTCGGGGTCACAAAATGCCTCTCTTTTGTGTCGAATCGGTTTGGTCTGGCATAAGGTGAGGATGACAAATACTATCGCAGTCTTGAAGACTACATGTTTGGCAACTGAAATGTAAACAAATATATACATATTTATACTTCTTATATATATCTGGGATGTAAACTTTGTAACTGGAAAAAATGTTGGTATATAGCAAGGGCAGAAGATGCTAATATGCTGTACATGATCGGGTTTATATATATGGTTTGGTTTGAAAAAGAAGTAAACATAAAGATTATTGCTTGTTAAAATGAGTGAAGATAAATTGAACTGTTTCTCATAGGTAACATGAAAAATGAAAATACAGTTATCATATTAGTGAGTGAAATCAGAAGAGATATGAATCTATGTGTGTGGAAAAAGGTATAAAAACTAATCAAAGTGACTTTAGAAGAGGACATTTTGTAACAGGACTTGACACCAGGGATCCTCATGCCAAGCAGTAATAAACTGCATATCGTTACATAGAAAAAAAGTAATGACACTTCAATAAGAAGAAATGTTAAAAAAAATGAAAAAAACCCGTAGATAAATAATATTTGTGCATTAAAACTGAATAAGAAAATATCAATTTAGTTAGTAAGAAATCTAAGCTGTGCTCTACCTTAGTTCTAATTATGGATAAACAGTGAATAATAAAACCAGTAATAAAAGAAAAAAGAACACGGACACATTTGGTCAGTCTATTCAATGACATGTAGAAATTTCCAGACAAAGTACGCCAAGCAGAACATGTTCGACAGACTTTTCTTGATTATGTCATTCATTTATCTTCGCCAAGGTGTGGCACGTTTGTATTTAATTCAGATCAGAGTACAACCAAATTCTCTCCAGGATGTTCTAATTTCTGACCCATTTCTATTCATGTAAGCTTAATTAAGTAAGACAAAAAGTTATCATTTGTGGTGTCTGTTGTTATCCTATCTTACAGATAAAAACTTGACTGAACAAAAATCTGTTTGTTATAGCGATTCTTCGTGTAAAAGAGTATCGTTTGTTGTTGATAATAAAAAACTGTATAAAATGACATTCTTATAATGTGTTCACAACCTATATGATGAAATTGAAGATTCAATTATGTGATGTCTCGAATAAAAATATTTCTATAATGAAATACCTCAAACACATACAAAACTATGATGTTAGCATAGTAAACGCAAGGCGATATTCAAAAAGGTAGAAATAGAATCCCCAATTTTATCCAAATGGTATATATTATACTTTTTAAAATAAATTGACTGGAATCCTTGTCGCAGGAAAAATATATGAAACTGAAAAATGAGGATGACAAGTAAGGTTCATACTATCTTCTTGTATTTTTTTCATTTTCATATATTATATTTTATAGCACTTGTTACAATTAAAATAAAATATGCCCTCTCGATTATATCATTACAATGCATTTATATATTATTAGCTGCTATTCATGGTTCTTACTATGTTTTACATCCGGCGACACACACTCAAAATTATAATTACAATAAACATTGTATGGCATGTACTCAAGGAACATGACAGATGGGTGCATTGGATATATTTACCTAAGGGACACCATTGTTATCTACATGTCAAAGTCAACTGAAAGGACCTAGCGGTGTTTGTGTATTTAAAGATATAACGATAATGAGGGCCAAAATGTACTCATGTTTCCTACCCGACTTCACTGTAGTATTGTAAGTGTGTACTTCGTGACACAGAACACGTTCTTTAAAGTAAGTCATCAGTTTGATATGTTTGTGTTTTAAGGCCTATAAACTGCTGTGATCATGCCAGGATTTGGTGGTGGAGAGAAAAATGGAGTGCCAGGAGAAAACCACCGACATGCGGCCAGTACATGGCTACTGCCCCATGTAACCTCGAACCCGCGACCCAGTGGTTCAACATAATATTGCAACAACGGAACAAGCACATGTAGATGTGCAGTGGAAAAAGTGTTTATAACTTGTTTGTTTGTTTTTGGTTTAACGTTATCACAAAAACACCTAATGTCATACAAAGACAGGAGGGTAGAGAAGTAAGTAACAAGACGATAGAGATCCCAAGTGAGGTCATGGAGCAGCAGAACAATTTTGTGGTCCCTTGTTCCCCCAGCAGAACTCAGCAGAAGACACAGAGGAAGCTCCGATTCTGAGGAGGCCCAAAATAGCAGCTTATTCTATCCTGGAACTTGCATGGATACGTTACAATGTAGAAATGACACTCGCATATGCATAAATAGGGATCTTCATTTGTTTATAAGCATCAAGCAATTCTATTAGCTGCGCATTTCAAACACAATGCATCAAAAGTATGGTTCAGGTAATGTTGTACATGTAAGTTAAATATTAAGGTGTTGGCATTTATGAAATTAATATCTATATCATTCACTGTCATAAACTAGCAATCAATGTTTCTTAACATTTTCTGCATGTTGGTAAGTATGGATTATGAGCAATCCAATTTGTCCATCCAGTTTATAAGAGGATCGTTTAAACTGTGGTGAGCTGTTTTTTATATGTCGAATAGGGGATGCTGGCCGAATGTAAAATGCAGTCAAAAGAACATACAATGTTTTCTCAGTTGTATACTACATGTATGGTATCATACGTTATTACGACAGTATTGTCCAATATTGACAATTTTTGATGGATATTACTTAAAAAGATACATATGCAAAGAAGTAACAGCGACAGTGCAACCTAAAGAATATGTAAAATTTTCAATGACATTTACTCCTGTATCAAGACACAAGGGTGAACAATTACATAACACAGAGATAATCAGTCAAAAGGAATGAAGTCTACGTCACAACATACAAACAGAAAACCAGTTATTAGTGATGGAATACAATGGTGTTAACGTATACTCTTTCGACAGATAGGTAGGGCACCTAGAAATAGTGCGATTGTGTACCCGAGTCAATTACTAGATAACAGTTGCCAATTAAAGAAGAAAATTAATCTATTAACGAAGTTGTTTTATCGGCATGTCGCAAGATGTGAAAAAAACTACAAGAAAAGCAGGGTAACTTTGTAAGTCAACATTACGGACGGGGTCACTAGAAATGCCAGTATACCGGCTATAAATGTGAATTTTATAAACGTTAACGTTATTAATGGTTCAAGTTCGCGAGAATTGTGTTCGAAACTTGCACAGACAATGTCGTCCACAGCAAATGCTTTATGGTGGCAAACACGTAACCTACCCTGTGTTTAAATCCAGCAGGGTACAAGCTGACACTCATTACGCATGACCCCGTTTTATGTCCCTTCCGAAGGACAAGAGAAAGTGTACAGTGTGATCAAGCGGAATGAGTAGCAAAAGTTATAATGAAAATATGTGTAGCTTGCTAGTGATGAGTGGGTCAATAATTTTAAGGAAGATTTCAAGACACCATTTGTATATGCAACCCCCGTGGTACTTTTAATAATCATAAAAAGGACAATTGGAAATGTTGTTCTTAGCGTAGATTTGATTGTTTGTTTCATTTGAAAGTTTCAATTAGGTGATTATATGTTTCCTGTGGATCTATACCACAATATTTTACAAATGTTTGTTTACATTCTGATGTGAAATGACAAAGCAGCATATGGCCAGGTTCAGGAAATAAATATGTTGACATTCAGATACGTTTCCTCAACTCTTGTACATTACACGGGGGTTCACTGTATGCGTACACCTCAGCTCATAAACGTGTCAAACTGTCTAATTGAATAATAATGAGAACAATATATGCTAAACAGTTCTCGGGTTTCATACTCGGCTAACCCTATTGTGTTGTGGGGTGTACTCAGTGACATACATGACAAGATTATTTATGTATTTCATTCAGTCATAAACAAAACAAAACACATTGAAGAGAGTTAAATCAAAAAAGTAATCAAACGTGTATTAGGATTCTTAACTCGCTTGCATGCATCTAAGAAATGGCCAAGTTGTTCATTTCTTACACAAATTTGGGATTCAAAAGTTAAATAGTTTCAACACACAAGGATTCGTTTTTTCATAGAAAATAATAAATTCGTTAAATTTTAACGTTGGCAGTTCAAGATGAAATGAAATCAATATTCTGTATTATTCACATAAACAAGAGATGGGATTCCATTCATAAATTAATGATTGACATTATGGCGAGCGTTGTTCTATTTCAGTTAACAATGAGTAAGGGAATTACACGCAGATACCGGCTAGGTATTTGGTGTTATTGAACGTGTTAAGTGTGCGAATCGTTAGCTTGGTACAGTAAGGGTGTTCCCCTACAAAACAGGAAAAGGATATTCCCCCTTCGTTTCGGTGGTCTTTATTAAAATCAATACAGAGCACATTTTAAAATAACAAACAAATAAACAGACAGGCAAGAAAAAGATAAAAACAAAACGTCTGTTAACTCAACAGAGAATCATTCATTGGTTATGTTTTTTGTTGTCACCGAACTCCTATATCGTTGAAGACCTACCGATGTCTATGCTAAAGGCCTAATTGTGTACTGAATACCAATGTTATTACATATTAAAGAAGTTATTAATGCTTGAAAAGCATGACAAGCACGAGTAAAAAAACTGAACTACGGATAATTCCCCTTGCGTTAGGATCGGACATAAACATGTAAATATTGCATTCATTGTAATATTTATTTAAAATATTTGTACTTACATGTTCGAAAGGACATTCCAACTTACGCCGCAATTTCCGTTTCAAAAATGAATCTATACACATAAACATTCCAAGTAGGAACCAGCAGTCACACTTAACACCAATGTTCTTTGTAAAATGCCAGGTGAATGTCACTATGAATGGGGTAAATATACTGTTGGACGTCAGCCAACAAATTTGAAGGCCGGTGTACTCGTTTACTTATATCTCGTGTTCTAATGAAGAAATAGATGATGTCAAAGGTAAGGATACGTGTTACACATGTAAAGGGTCTAGGTCGCCCAAGGCAGCTAGTGTTTACGGGATGTCATTACACGGGTAATTTCTGGAACATATCCGTGTGGTGCCACCTGTGATACAATGTAGGCAACGTATTTAGTTTAGATGATTTAAATGCTTGCTTGTTTGCACTTCAATCGATTTTATTTTTTGTCCCCATTTTTAATAATATTTTGTTTTTGTATGAGGCTTAAACGAAATCAAGACTGAGTCGCACTTCATTGAGAAGAAAGACATACTATGATATAGTGCTCCCTACAGACGAACCGTTTTGGGTGATTCTACTGTGTTGAGTTCAAATATTACATCAATCACTAGATAAGGGTCAGTTTTTTTTAAAAGGAACGGAAAATAATCATGGAGATGGTGAATGACAAGTTGGGTCACATGGACAGAGTTAAAAAATACTACGACTACTAAAAACAGGTTTTACATGTGTGGGATGTCACGGGATGTGGATTTGTGGATAAAAAATTACAGCCGATTGGTACTTAGGAAAAAAAACATCCAGGAAAAGTACCAGTAATTAGCAGATGTGCTTAGATTTTCAGACTTAAAAAATATCTAAGGGACGAATGAGCCACATACTTATCATGACGTATCATTTCACACAATATGCCGTCGCAGTGCCCACACGCAACCAACTTGCAAAGGCAACAGCAGAGACATGTTGACGCCCATTATGTGATTTCACACAGACTGAGGCCTACACTTTGAGGACACCCTATTGCAGGAACTCTGCACCATTACTGGGAATACACGTCTCACACTACCAGTTATTATTCCATGGGAAATGGAATTTGCGAAATATTCAATTAAGCTTTGGTTGAAATGCTGGGTAATATAGGAAAAGGAAACAAAAACAAAATACGAAAGCCCGCATCGCTGCACTTGTCCATGCACACAACTACACAAAGCAGGATACCACAGGACAGTCCCCGCACTTTCGTATGTTCTTTTGTTATTTTTGGTTTGTGTTCAAATGCTTAATAATTGAAAAACACTAGGGCTCTTTTTACATGAAACAAAGTATAGTTTGTATGCATAAAATTATAACGTGGGTATCTTAAAAATGAAATAAAGCAAATATTCTGCATTATAAATACTTCCATTCATAAATTTAATGTTAGCATGTAGTCGGGCAGTGTTTTATTTCATTTAACAATGATGAGTAATTCATTACAGGATATCGGCCTGGTGTTTGGTGTTATTAAATGCCCCACGCGTGCGGATCGTTCGCTGAGTAGTGTTACAGAATTAAAGATAGCTTGCCTTTTAACGAGTGATCTCCCTTATACAGTAACTCGATGTGTAATCTGTAGTTTGTATGCACATGCGCACTTGAGCAATAAACGAGGTTTAATGTCACCCGCCATGTTTGTGTTGATGTTGTTACAAGTAGGAAGGGGTGTTTCCTTTCTCCAACACCAAATATCCAACATACTAACCCACACATCATTTCCAACAACTGAAACGCTTTAAAAAATGCACTATGTGTTTGTGTGGGTGTATGGTGTGTGTGCAGAACAAAGTATCTAAATGGATTGTTGTCCTTTTTCATTTGTGTTTCATCTATCCCAGAGTTCCTTGCGGGTCAGTAAATCCCCTACAAAATACGATAAGGGTATTTCCCTTTCGTTTTCCCTGCGGCCATTAAAACAGATTGTAATACAAAACTAACGAAAAAGAAACAATAAACAAAATATCCTATCAGATATGTATCTCTACCTCCCATTGCTTAACACAATAGAGACGCATTGGTAATGCTGATGATTGCTACCGGTCTATCATGTACCGAATAACCTTATTACTACATGTACACCCCTAGCACCAAACTAAAATATGTTCATTTTCACAAGCATTATAATATCAGTTAACATGTAAACATTGCATTCGGTGTATATTTCTATGTAACAAAGTAACTCATACTTACATGATCGATAGAGCATTCCTAATTAACAACGCGATTTCCTCTTTGAATATGAATCGGAATACATAAACATTCCGGTACAATAAGCACAAATGTTCTTAACAAAGTGTCGAAATAAATGTCACGATGATTGAGTAAATAAAATGGTAGTCCTCTCGTGTACAGCAGGTATACGTACTTAGACCCATAGAAGTAGGTGATCCGTTACTTATACCTGGGTATGTGACGACATATGTAAATATAGGTCAAAGGTAGAAAAATGTGTCACGTGACAGATATCAAGGCGAACTCAAGTGCAAGGTCGCTAATGTTTACGTTGTGACTGTAGAACACGAACTTTCTAGAACATTATTATAGAGGGTTTTCATTATCAGTAGCTGATTTATTTAGTCTAGTTTTTTTTTTATCATTTTCTGATGTTGAAATAAGAACTAAGGACTAAATTAGAGAGAGGAATATGATAAACATTTTATTAAGCTAGGATGGTAGTTCTAGAATGTTTACACGGTAACAACATGTATCCCTCTGGAGCCTCCATTGTAGCAGTGGTGGATTTTGTAGATTAAAACATCAACAAACACTGTGAGAGTTCTTCCCGATTTATTGTGCGTGGTTCCGATTCCTTTGACATAAATGATCTAACCCTGCAATTGTATAATAATTACATTTCAGATATATGTATGGTATCTACAACGCATTCATAACGCACATAATTAAAAAAAATGTAGCACAATTTGAATTTACAAGAAGTTATCTTATTACGTTACATGTACGATAATAGTTCTATCAATTATAAAAGTTATATTACAAATAGATTTACACATTATATTTACTGATATTCATACACATGTAATATTCAACATATGATGTAAATCTTATCTTATCTTAGCTCAGTATTTATTGATACGGAGGTTACTTAATAAATAGACAAAGAGTACAATAAAATACATTCATCAATACATAAGTTTAAAATAGAAAATGTACCTATTTGTGGAACATGGCCATTTGATTCTCTCCTCGTCACATAAACTGGAACATCCTCGTTTGGTCTGGAAATGACGATATATGGATCTTCCTCCGATCTATTTACCAGTTTATGCTTTCCTTCGAACTAACAATCTTTACAAGCACTCTGTCTTCTCCCTCTAATACAGCTACACGAATGCGGCGATCATAGTTGGTCTTCTGACTCGCTTTTGCCCTCGTGGAATGCTCTCTAGCAAGTCTATAGGCTATTTTAAAATGCTGCTTTAGTTTACCCGCATACACTGTACTAGTCTCTTCGTTTCCATCTTTAATGACACCACACGCTATATCCACAGGTAAATTTGGCTCTCCCCCAAACATCAAAACATATAGACTATGTCCTGTTGTTTCTTGTCGTGAACAGTTATAGACATGTACAAGGCTTGCTGTGTGAGCTTTCCAGTCTTTCTCATGTACATCCTCCAATGTTCCAATCATTCCCAACCAAGTCCTGTTGAATCGCTCACAAGCGCCGTTTCCCTTCGGGTGGTATGGTGTTGTGTGAGTCTTGTTCATGCCAGTGGTGTTTCATAGCTCCCTGATGATGTTACTTTCGAAGTGCAAATGATCCCGTACCTCTTGATACAATGAATATCGGCATACAATATATAAACAAACATTTTTATATTTGGATGTTATAGCATATATGTAAAACGTCTCTCCTTATCACTAATTACCCTTACATTATATATTCGGTATGTGTGTATGTTTTTTCGGACTAGTACTAGTACTAGCTATATAACAGAGTACGAAACGATTACTTTGAGTTGTTTAGAAAATGAACTTCAATTTTGCATCCATAAATACGTCTAAAGAAATATTTACTGTAATGTGATGTTGGATACTGAGGGATGAATATCAACATACATGACAATGTTATCCTACACTTAACACATATTCGGCATTATTACGGGTATACCAACCAATGCTACATTAAACAAACGCTTAGCGTCAATTAATAACGTAACGCTTCACTTGAAGAACGTTAAGCGTTAATAGAACAACGTGATGGTAACGTATTCACATTAGCTCTGCATCCTACCATTGCAATGCATCGAGAAGGCAAGCGTTGTTGTAAAACTTTAACATCATTTGCTATTGTAAGATCGTCAATTTCATTGTTGTCGACACTTAATTTGCTGTTCAAAATAACTAAATAACACATACCTACTTTATCAAAATGTAAATATAAATGATGAAAATTTTAGCAAATAGTATTATGGTCCTATAACACACTGCCTGGCTTTATAAAGTTTGTCGTAAATAGCAATGTGTGTTATAGGGCCATAGAAACAGCTGCTAAAACATACATTGCTTAAATGAACACGTATTCAGTGTCAATACAATAGCCTAAGATATACTTCAGAAACATTCAGCATTAATATAACAACACTTTGCTGCCTTGACTAACGTTCAGCATCAATTTATCAGCATAGGCTACACTTAGTAAAGTGTCAATATTTTGATTTAATGAATACATGTTCATTGTCTATGTATCCACTTTGTCGATAAACTGAATCATTTGGCTTGCTTGTATTTTACGTCCCATTAACAGCTATTTAAGGACGTGCCAGGTTTCGGTGTTGGAAGAAAGCCGGAGTTTCCAGAGAACAACCACCGACCTAACGACTGCCCAACGTAGGCCTCGGACGGCGACCCAGTGGTGGAGGGCTAGTGGTAGAAGAATGTCAGACGCCTTAACAACCTGGCCATCGTTGCCACTGAAGTGAATCATAATTTATCAGAAGACGTCAATAAAGTTGACAAAAAAAAGGAAAATGGGCATACATTACAAATCGTGTATTCGTTTACTTCAATATTTAGGGTCGATTTGTTATCATGTCAATCATGTTACGTTATCATCGTCTAACATCATACACCGGAAAACCCATTATGAATATCAATAAGGCTGCATGATATCGACAATTCCTTCAAAACTCATAAAGCACTAAATTTGTATATAGAAAAACCTCTATTCTGTATATCTGTGAACAGTGCCGTTTGTTAAAATAATGACAATTGTTTATTAGTTATGTTGTATCAATAAAAGTCATCAATAAATCTTCAAGCTAAGCTACCTGACTAAGATATATAATGGTTGTTTAATCAATACCGTATACATCTCGATATGTGATCTGTGTTGGACGCTTAAGACAGTTAGGGTGAACCATCATTAATACGAACATGGAAAAGACGTTTAATATGAATATCCATCCAACATATCGATCTGTCAATCTTGCTAAAAATTATATTGTTTGCAAGTTAGTATATTATTTTTGTTATGCTATTAAATATAAGTTTATTTGCTAATGTATCTATAGATTATGTTTGTGTATATATTTTAAATGTTTTATCTTCACAGATTATTAACTTGTCGTGCAATGTTTTATGTTTTTAATTGTTTACATGAACATGTTCATGGATGCATATATTATTTGTTGTCATGTTGTATAATGCTATAAGATCTGTTTAATAACATTTGATATCGCCTGTCTACAGAAAGATATCGTCTGTTTAAATAAAGATATCGTCTGTTTAATAGCATTTGATATCGCCTGTCTACAGAACGATATCGTCTGTTTAAATAAAGATATCGCCTGTCTACATTAAGATACCGCCTGTCTACATAAAGATATCGCTTGTCTACATAAATATATCGTCTGTTTACATAAAGATATCGTCTGTTTAAATACAGATATCGTCTGTTTAATAACATTTGATATCGCCTGTCTACATAAAGATATCGTCTGTTTACATAAAGATAACGCCTGTTTACATAAAGATATCGCCTGTCTACATTAAGATACAGCCTGTCTACATAAATATATCG